AAATTATAATTTTACGATTTCTGCCTTTGAATATTATATGTGGCTGGAATGCAATTTTGTGACTTACTAATAGGAAACCAGTTTTAATCTTTCGAACAAAAATGAAAATGTAAATTTCAATCCTTCTGTTTATATATTTTAACTTAACGCTATTATTTAATGGTATTTTTTTATTTTGACAGAGTAGGTTAATTCTTCAAAGACAACTTATTAGCCTTACGCAACTTCTCTTGCCTGCGTATATTTTATTATTGATTTTTATTGATTATTACTTAATTTTTTTGAATTTAAGCGATAAAAATATATAATAATAATAAATTAATGTTTTACAAATCCATATACTTTTATTAAAACTAACACATATACTTTTTAATTACGAATTATGAAAAATTGTATTGTCAGTATACGAAAAAATAGTCCATTATTACCTAAATGAGTTGGCGCTGCTGTCACGCACAGAAAGAATACTAAAAATTGAGTAATTAATACTCTGATGATAGTACATATAAATTATTGTCAATTATGTTTTTGTTCGTATATTTATTTTTGTATTCAAATATTTTGACTTGCCCTGAAGATAAAGGTTCAATAAAAAATTATTAGTTTCAATTTGTGATACTAGTATTTTTTTTATGTATGTACGTATTTCATTGGGAATTTAATAAAGAAATATGTTTTTAAATATGTGTGCTATTATAAATGTTCTGAAAAATATTGTGCCATCACCGCCCACAATTGCTTGTATTGTAGCGTGGTCGTTGAAAGCAAATATATCGTATCTCATTTATTTTGAAATAAGTACCTTAAACGGTTTATATTAAAAAAAGGCGTTTATTACATGACATTCACTATTGCTATTCTTATTTTACGCGAAATATAAGCCAGAGCAGTTTATAATCGTTTTCATTATTAAATTAGCGCATTCGATGGTCCGGCAACTATGTAATTTTCCCAAATACGTCCGATGATGCATTGAACAATCCTATAGAGGTTCTCAGGTTCGAATCCCACTGGTGACAGGAATTTATTAATTAAATTAAATATTAATTCTAATACATAGGTAGGATTGCCCACTTGACCATTTACTGTTGGATCCTAATTAACAGTGCTGTTTCTAAACTGGCACTGGGAAACAGTAACAAAGCCTGCACAAAACACGAGGCTAATAAGCTAAGTAGTTGATTCCAATGACTCCAAATAAAAAACAAACAAACAACATTTTTTTTATTTGACAGCTTTTTGTGAATATACAATACAATTATTAAGGTAAAGGGTGGAACGAATACATCAATGTATAATTTTTTTATTTTTTATTGAATATTAGGCTGAGCGATTTTTGCTTTACAAAGCCATCATCATAGTCATCCTAAACTAAATGTATTAACAATCATGTAAAAGAGAATAAAATTAAAAAACTTACGTCTAGTAGATACCACCATAGGAAACCTTAGATAAATATATAACATTTGGCACCCACGGTGGTTATGATGATAAGTATGGTACCTTCGGGTAGACTCCAAAACCATTAGCGAGGTTAATGATAAACAGGAAACAAAATAACAAAATCAAGTGTAGAACATGTAAAATGTGACAATGTATAATCCAAAACGAACTAAGCCTTGGTTTCTTCGGACCTATATATGGATCATAACTCTAGAACCCAAGCATTACATAACTTATTATTGATGGTTCGGTTTACTCCAAAACCATTCATGAATATACTAGCATTGAGATAGAATAAAGAGAACATGCTATGATGATACTAAAAGTGTCCGCACTTTTACCTTCCCCTTTTACTTCATGTCAAACTAGAGCTAATCAGTTTTGGCTCTCGGGCGCCAGATTTTATGTGTGGTTTACTCCACAAACTTTCGAAACGGCGTCGAAAGTACTCGGGCAGCACAGATGGAGATGAGAAATTCCAGGGGTCGTTGGTCACTCAGACACAGGTAATAAGTAACCACAAGTAACGGGCTTTAATCGTTACTTGTGGTGTTAAAGAATTTCTCACTGCTGAAATAAAGGGGGAAGTAAATTAGGGATCAGTAACCTCAGTAATAGTCAAGGTAACGTTGACACATATATCGAATTTAACTATTTATAATACATAATTTGCAAGTAATATTTCAACGCTCACCCTCGCTCGTATTTTTAAAACCCTCAACAAAAAAAGAAAAACAAACAGATCGGCCAGTAGTGAACTTTGATTAGTCACAATCAGACGGTACAATTAAAATTAAAAGAAAGATGCTCGGTGGCAATAGTAACTAATTAATAAATTGTCGGTTCGGTGGTTGAGCCAAAACGAAACCAAAAACAAAATTACTATTTCAGTTAAAGAAGAAAAATGGCAAATAATTGCGGTCGTAGCAAAAGTTAGCTAGTTAACTGTTAAATTGGCAAAAAGATTGAACCTAAATATTTTGTTTCGTAAAAGCAGAAATAAAATCACGGTCGTAGAAAAATTTATCTGGTTAACTATCTAGTCAGTATTGAAACTGAAACAAACCTCCTTGTGTTAGTGAATAGGGAATAGATAAATGATAAGAAAACGGGATAGTATCAATCCTATGAGGAGTGCACTCGTCAGAACCAGCCCGCTCAACATAAAAATGATACTATCATTGTAATTACGGCGCGGAGGTAACTAAAAAAAATAATCAAAAACCGGGTTAGTATTTAATCCTACGATGAGTGTACTCGCCAAAACCAGCCCGCTCAAACATAAAACAAAATATTAAACCGGGTCAGTATTTATCCTATGATGAGTGTACTCGCCAAAACAAACATAAGAAAAACACTAATATGTTAATCACGGCTAGGGGTTAATCTAAAAAAAAATCTGAAACCGGGATAGTATCTAATCCCATGTGAGCTTTCTCGCCAAAACCAGTCCCCTCAACATGAAAAATGATACTATTTCAACTTTCCAACTTTCGAACTAATTCTATTCCCAAGTAAAGAAACAAATGGAAAAAAAGTTAAACCTGATTGTGAATAAATAGAAACAAAATTTATGGTCGTAGTAAAAGTCAGGTAATTAACTATATACGGAATTTAATTTAAATTTAAATTTATTATTACTTAAAAATAGAAACAACATCCACGATAGCAATGAAAATTAAGTAATTAACAGTATACGGAATTTAATTTGAAATTAGGTTTACTATTACTCTAAAATAGAAACACAATCCACGGTCGCAATAAAAATTAAGTAATTAATAAAATAGAAACAAAATTTCTACTTCCTAATAACCAAAACTAATTTCCAATGTTTCTAAATAAAATCAAAACAAAATAATTTATCTGAAAATCAAAATATTTTTAACGAAAATCTAAAGTCAATTATTATTTCTATTAAATAAAATCGAAAACGGAATAATTTAATCAAATAAAACTGGTATTCGAACGTTTAGCTCAAGAACCGACGACAGAAAAAAACGTAAACATGAATTCGGTGTACCTAACTACGGTCTCGGCAATGATATTACGGCGTATAACGAAGCAGACTTAACGAGGTCGGAAAAATGAAATCAAGCTAGTCGAGATCGGTAAAGTGAATGATTTTAATACTCAATGCTAAATCAGAGTCTCTATGCCCAAGCAGGCTGGCTCCCCACTCGGTGTGCGCGGATCGCGCGCGCTATCGTTACTCAGGTATAATACGCGAATTTAAATGAAACAAAATTTGATATACAGGGTCTACCGATGAAGGTAAAATAAAATAAAAATTGAAATTTATATCCGGAATAGGCAGAAATATAGTAATGAAAATTGACTTCATTACAAATAAATGCCATTTTTTTAAAATAGCTTGATAGAAATAATATAAAATCATTTTCATTCCGTCAATCTTCTAATATAAAATTAATAAATTCAAATTAATCAAAATACAACTCGCCATATTCCATCACTCGAAGTGCATCCACTTGTCATATCGCAAAATAGTGTTTATGTCGTCTTCTCTGTCATGTATCTACTTCATTCTATCTCCATGACCACTAGCATCGAGATCTATCTCAATGACCACTAGTCACTAGACTAAGACGGCGATGATTTATGATTCCCGATAAATTAATTTTTGTGTTTTTTAAAGTAAATTAAAGTAAATTAAACAAATACATTTTATTTTTAATTCAGCATTTTTATTAAGTCAAAACATACCTAATTAAACAAAAATAAAACCGATTACAAAATACTGCCGAGTTGCTAATATACGTAAAAAAAATAATGAAATTATATTGCTTAATTAAAATAATGTCAGGTCATCAACCACGTAATTTAAGTTTGCTTAAACTACGAAAAATTTTGCAGATCGGCAATATTCAAAAAATTAGGTAGGAAAATTAAACAAGGAAGTTAGTTGTAAACTCGACAGCGAAAAAGGTGGACTCGAAAGGAGACTCCACTAAGTTATTTATTTAATATAATTTAAAATCCTTATAAATTAAAAAGTTTTTCATTGTGCCTTTTGGGGAAGATTGTGACGTGCCCCAAGCTTAAGAAATGTGGTAAGTGTACCAAGATATTTTAAAAATATTGTTAAAGTAAATGAGGTGTGGTTGAGATTGAATAAATTATATATTTTCTTATATTTTGTATTTTCTTTCAAAAACGAAACTGGTACAAAAAACACGACTTCGTGACAATATCTAATATTAGTTGGTTTAACTTTTATTTTTTAACCATAATTATCCTTTTTAGAATGTTTTTGTTTTAATGAATCTTCAAAGTGTTTTATTTTTATCTAAGATTTCCTGTGGTAGCATTTTGTACATACTGATATATTCATTCATTCTTCACCTAATATTTGGTACGTACACCATTCCCAGTCTTTTTTTAAAATAAATTTATATTTCAGATAAAAATCAACAAATTGATTTACATCGTAAAATATATTTTCTATTAAAATCTTTTTCATATGATATTTCAGTTGTACACGTTACTACACTCTTCTATAGGTCAAACAAAGATCAAAACTCTGGTTATTTATTTTCTCAGATGAAGTGTTAAGCTGGATAATCACAAATAAACAAACAACAACTTCAGATGCGTTCTTTCCAAAACTGTTTTCTTACATTCGTTTTCAAACTGATGAGAGAGCACTACTCGAAAAACTCTTCCTAAATCTAAAACTGTCAGCACCGCTATTAATATTCACTCTTGAATTAAAAATTAATTCTGAATCTGAAAAATATCTAATCAAATTTTCCTCGGATAAACTAACTGGTCGTCTGGCGCTTCTTAGAATATTCATGGATTTGCAGTTGCGGATTCCCTTCTTTATTTCATTGAAGATTTGCGAGGAATATTTGGGAAGATTCTCAAAATATTTAGTCGCTCTGCTTTCTGTAGAATCTTCAGATGTGGTTGGTTGTTGTGGGATTGGTACGGTGTCAACAGATGGTCCTAAAAACACCAATTTAGTATAAGCATCATTAAGAACTCCATACATTTAAAAAAAATACTTTTAGATTTAAGTGGTATTTATTTATTTGATTTATTTGCTTATTATGTATTTTGAGTTAATACACCGTTTAGTTATGTATACTGGCAAAAATAGCTTTTCCAGAAACCACCGTTTCATGAGTTTTTTAGATTTAAGAGGTATTTTTTATTTTATTTATTTGCTTATTTTTTATTTTGATACAATACAAAGTAAAACTATTTATACTGTTTAAATAGCTTCCCAGGGATCACCGTTTTAGAGTAAGTGATATTTATTTAGTTAATTAATTTATATTTATTTTACCCATGTTCGACCGAATTTGTGACCACCATTCGAAATAAATATTATACTTCGTTAAATATCTGGTGTTCATCTTATCCATCCAGAATTTTACCCACATTTTTTTAGAATTATCACAAGGGTGATTGCCATAAGATAACTTGGCCATCGAGGTTGGTTTGGGTAGGTATTATTATTGTTTTTGGGTGTTTAGTAATCTTTCCGTTTTACCCTACTGGTAACTGGCCGCCTGGAAGTTATTTTACTCCACTGAACCTACTTTAAGTGCACTCTAGGTTCGCTTGAGGGTCGCAGGGCAAACTGCGTTAGCAAAACTGGCGCCTAAGCAATCTTTATTTAAATTTCACTACTCTCAGCGCCACCTACGAATTCCATTTCATATTAGGTGAATCATTTAGATTTGAAACAAATTAAGATAAAACAAAATTGTATGTAGAAGTAACATACTTCTTTTTGGTTGTTTTTGTTTATTTTTTGTTGTTTCTGCTTATTTTTTACTTTTTTTGCTTTTTACTTTTTTTTTTTTTTTATTTTTGATTTTTTTGCTTAAAGTTGCTATTTCTGCGTATGTTTGCTTATTTTTGCTTCCTTTTGCATTTATGCTTTTTTTGCTTTTTTGGCTTTTTGTCTTTTTTACTTTTATCTGCTTATTTTTGTTTGTTTTAGCTTTTTTGGCTTATTTTCACTTATTTTCGCTTATTTTCGCTTATTTTGAATTATTTTGGAGTAGTTTGGCTTATTTTGGCTTATTTTAGCTTATTTTGGCTTCTTTAAACTTATTTTTGTTAAATTTACTTACTTTTGTTTATTTTTTGGTTGCTTCTGCTTATGTTTCCTTATTTTTTATTTATTTTTGCTTATATTTTTTATTTATTTTTTGTTGTGCTTATTTTTGCTTATTTTTGCTTATTTTTGCTTATTTTTGCTTATTTTTGCTTATTTTTGCTTATTTTTGCTTATTTTTGCTTATTTTTACTCATTTTTGCTTCTTTTTTGCTTCTTTTTTGCTTCTTTTTTGCTTCTTTTTTGCTTCTTTTTTGCTTCTTTTTTGCTTCTTTTTTGCTTCTTTTTTGCTTCTTTTTTGCTTCTTTTTTGCTTATTTTTTGATTATTTTTGCTTATTTTTGCTTATTTTTGCTTATTTTTGCTTATTTTTGCTTATTTTTGCTTATTTTTGCTTATTTTTGCTTATTTTTGCTTATTTTTGCATTTTTTGCTTATTTTTGCTTATTTTTGCTTTTTTGTTTATTTTGCTTTTTTTATATTTATACTTATTCTTGCCAGTTTTTACTTATTTTTACATTGTATAAAACAAATTTTTAAAATTCTGAGTATTCTGGGTATTATTTTGAATTGAATCTATAGTGGTTATTTTTTAGGTCCGTAACTGGAATTCAACTTTTATTTATACGCTATTTGGCACCATTTTTGCTTCTTTTTTGCTTATATTTTGGTTATTTTTGCTTATTTTTGCTAATTTTTTTTGTTTATTTTTGTTTATTTTTGTTTATTTTTGTTTATTTTTGTTTATTTTTGTTTATTTTTGTTTATTTTTGTTTATTTTTGTTTATTTTTGTTTATTTTTGTTTATTTTTGTTTATTTTTGTTTATTTTTGTTTATTTTTGTTTATTTTTGTTTATTTTTGTTTATTTTTGTTTATTTTTGTTTATTTTTGTTTATTTTTGTTTATTTTTGTTTATTTTTGTTTATTTTTGTTTATTTTTGTTTATTTTTGTTTATTTTTGTTTATTTTTGTTTGTTTTTGTTTATTTTTGTTTATTTTTGTTTATTTTTGTTTATTTTTGTTTATTTTTGTTTATTTTTGTTTATTTTTGTTTATTTTTGTTTATTTTTGTTTATTTTTGTTTATTTTTGTTTATTTTTGTTTATTTTTGTTTATTTTTGCTTAGTTTGCTTAGTTTGCTTATTTTTGTCTTTTTTGTTTATTGCTTTTTTTTTGTTTATTTTGCTTATTTTTGCTTATTTTTGCTTATTTTTGCTTATTTTTGCTTATTTTTGCTTATTTTTGCTTATTTTTGCTTATTTTTACTCATTTTTGCTTCTTTTTTGCTTCTTTTTTGCTTCTTTTTTGCTTCTTTTTTGCTTCTTTTTTGCTTCTTTTTTGCTTCTTTTTTGCTTCTTTTTTGCTTATTTTTTGATTATTTTTGCTTATTTTTGCTTATTTTTGCTTATTTTTGCTTATTTTTGCTTATTTTTGCTTATTTTTGCTTATTTTTGCTTATTTTTGCATTTTTTGCTTATTTTTGCTTATTTTTGCTTTTTTGTTTATTTTGCTTTTTTTATATTTATACTTATTCTTGCCAGTTTTTACTTATTTTTACATTGTATAAAACAAATTTTTAAAATTCTGAGTATTCTGGGTATTATTTTGAATTGAATCTATAGTGGTTATTTTTTAGGTCCGTAACTGGAATTCAACTTTTATTTATACGCTATTTGGCACCATTTTTGCTTCTTTTTTGCTTATATTTTGGTTATTTTTGCTTATTTTTGCTAATTTTTTTTGTTTATTTTTGTTTATTTTTGTTTATTTTTGTTTATTTTTGTTTATTTTTGTTTATTTTTGTTTATTTTTGTTTATTTTTGTTTATTTTTGTTTATTTTTGTTTATTTTTGTTTATTTTTGTTTATTTTTGTTTATTTTTGTTTATTTTTGTTTATTTTTGTTTATTTTTGTTTATTTTTGTTTATTTTTGTTTATTTTTGTTTATTTTTGTTTATTTTTGTTTATTTTTGTTTATTTTTGTTTATTTTTGTTTATTTTTGTTTGTTTTTGTTTATTTTTGTTTATTTTTGTTTATTTTTGTTTATTTTTGTTTATTTTTGTTTATTTTTGTTTATTTTTGTTTATTTTTGTTTATTTTTGTTTATTTTTGTTTATTTTTGTTTATTTTTGTTTATTTTTGTTTATTTTTGTTTATTTTTGTTTATTTTTGTTTATTTTTGTTTATTTTTGTTTATTTTTGTTTATTTTTGTTTATTTTTGTTTATTTTTGTTTATTTTTGTTTATTTTTGTTTATTTTTGTTTATTTTTGTTTATTTTTGTTTATTTTTGTTTATTTTTGTTTATTTTTGTTTATTTTTGTTTATTTTTGCTTAGTTTGCTTAGTATGCTTAGTTTGCTTATTTTTGTCTTTTTTGTTTATTTTGCTTATTTTTGCTTATTTTTGCTTGTTTTTGCTTATTTTTGCTTATTTTTGCTTATTTTTGCTTATTTTTGCTTATTTTTGCTTATTTTTATTTATTTTTGTTTATTTTTGCTTATTTTTGCTTATTTTTGCTTATTTTTGCTTATTTTTGCTTATTTTTGCTTATTTTTGCTTATTTTTGCTTATTTTTGCTTATTTTTGCTTATTTTTGCATTTTTTGCTTATGTTTGCTTATTTTTGCTTATATTTGCTTTTTTGTTTATTTTGCTTTTTTTATATTTATACTTATTCTTGCCAGTTTTTACTTATTTTTACATTGTATAAAACACATTTTTAAAATTCTGAGTATTCTGGGTATTATTTTGAATTGAATCTATAGTGTTAATTTTTTAGGTCCGTAACTGGAATTCAACTTTTATTTATACGCTATTTGGCACCATACTGGACAAAGAATTTATGTTGTAAATATGAAAAATATATACAATGTGGTCCGTTAAAAATAGGCTGTTCTATTTTCTGATCCTAATACTAAGTAGATAATATACTCAATTACCTGGTTCAGAAAATGTAAACTCTGTAAATTCAGTCATTGAATGTTCACTAACAATATTATTGGCACCTTTCTCATTTTCCAGAGCTGTCGTTGCTAAATTGTCATATGCGGGTGGCGGAGAATCAGGAATACGTATGGAAGGAGAAATAGTACAGCAAGTTTGGCTTGTGCTTGCTTCTGATGCTAAGCTATCACAAGGGAAAAGAACAGTTAAGTCAACATCCGATCTGCTTGCCTCTAATTGTACATTTGATATGCAATTGCATCTGCAACACCTACAATTAACACATTGGAAATTATGCATCAAATTTGTAAAAAATCACAGATGAGGCAAAAAATTAGGAATATAAAATTTGTGTAATTTGGAAATGTGATACTGACCTCGATTCCCATACGAAATTAGGGAATTAGTTCCACAAACTCAAAGTAAAAACAAACCAAAGAAAAATTTAAAAAGCTGGACAAAAAAAATTATCTGACAGGAACACATTTTTAGGGGTTTTTGGAATGGATTATCTAGTTTCTTATGAGGAATTGAAGTATTCATTTTCATATTTCCAAATTGCATACTAAAGTTTTCATATCTTTGACCGATTTTCTCACTCCCTTTTCAAATATAAATTTGATTTTTTTTTATTTAAGAATATTTTTCAACAAACTTATCGCCATTTTGTCTAAACGAATATCCTTCACACTTGAGTTTTCTGTTTTAAAATTGACACAAATGTACTGCCAATTTAGAAAAGTGTCAATAATTGCAATAACCTATTTGCGTAAAGCAGATAATGCCATTATTCTTCAGATAGCGATGGTTAAGATACGAGACTTTATATTGAATATTACTGAACAAATGATTTAAAACTGCTACTTTTACCTTTTTTGCTCAATTTTAAGTTCTTCAAACTCTTTGAAATACTTCATTTTTACTAGTTCATTGTATTCTGGTGGATGTTCATAGTCTGGAGGTTCATCAGGAACGATAATTTCCTCTTCGATGTCTCCAACGCTTTCTTCTGCAATTTAATACATAAGAAACATGTTAACATATTTTAGGTATTTAAGTAAAACCTATTGACTGCAAGTGCAAACTTAATACCTAAACTTGACTAATAACTAAACTTAAGTAATGCCTGAAAACTTATAAATAATTCCTAAAAATCTATATAGTCCAATTAAATAACGAAAAAAGCCCCTTCGAGCTTACATTAATTTGTAATTGGATGAAACAAAAAGGACCTTGTGTATTTTGATGTGATCTTTCCGAAAAAAAGAAAAAAAAGATGTAGCAGTTTTTCAATTTTTTTTAAATTAGGAAAAACCGGGTTTTCCGGAATTTTCCATTGTAAAAATGCTAATTATCTGGGCAAGTATCATTCCGATAGTGAAAATAAATGCACCATTCGAAAGAGGAGGCAAAAATAGTTCGGTAATTCATTGCACAGGTAGTTTTCATGGCGAATTTCTCGCCGCCAGAAGTGCTTTTACCAAAAAGTCGTTTTTTCGTTTTTTTGATCAGAACCATGGACATGAAATTTGCGATGAATTTGAAATTATAAATGTTAGACATATGTGCCCATGAAAGAAGTTGCGTATTTTTTTGTTGGCTCTCAAATAAAATAAGTCCCGCGGCGAAATCTGACATAATTTTTCGGGAATTCGCAGGAAACCAGAGGCGTAGTTTTTTTTAATTTTTTTCCCATATGATTTTTTCCGGGTTTTCCGAAAACATCTAACAAAAAAAATATAATTTGAAAAAACTAACTTCGCCATCGAAAAGAGCACAAAAAAATACACAAAAAGGTATACTTTAAAAATGTTAGGAAATTAATCCTAAGCCTGAGTGTAAGTTCCAACTTGGTGATAAGCTTGCTTTTTGTTCGCTAATATCTGGTAATTCTATATTTTGCACAAAACTCAAGAAACGTCTTATAACAAGTCAGTAAAATACAATTTAATAAATTTTAAGCCTAATAAATTTAGATATTTAAGAAGTTTAAAACTGGAAATCGCAAAAAAGTCAAATTACAGTAATGTAGTGTATACACGAGTTTTGGATCCCGCAAAGCGCGTGTAATGGGACTTTTGTCGGGATAATTCTACAACTTAGAAGAAACATAAACACTTTAAACTTTGTGTACACATTTAGAAGATATGAAATTTGGGTTTGTTTAATTTTCAGACAAAAAAACTAAAAATTGTCAATTTTAGGCAACTTTTCTCAAAAACCGTGTTTTTTGGTCGTCACTCAATGAACAGTGGTCAAAAAAATAGATAAAATATATTTGCAGAATTTTCCGTAATGTAATCGTATTCTAGACACAATAGAGTACTCAAAAAAAAAGTTTTGAGCCATTGGGTGCATTTTTGGCATTTTTGTGCCACTTCAAACTTTCGAAAAAAAAATTATTTTTTTTTTAAGGAAAAAAAAAATTATTTAATTGTTTGATATCTTAGCCAATTATGGTCCGATGTCGGTGAAATTCACACACACACATAAGATTTCACATTTAAGAGTAAGCTTGTAAGTGGCATTAAAAAAATTAAAATAGTTTGGCCGTTATAGGCAAACAATGAAATTAGGACCGCGGTGCATTTTGCCCTTCCGCCATATGCCCAATTTTGGGATTCCTCTTGCCCCCTTCTGGGAATCACTAGTCACATCCCTTAAGTTCAAAACGCATTTTTGTTTTTTCAAATATCTTAATTTTTACCAATGTTATAAAGAATTTAGTGTTTAAACATTTAACAAATTCAATTTTTCGACCTTCGTCGCCTCAAAATACTAAACAAATTTCAATCGTCCATACCGCGAGAACGGTGCATCGGATCAAAATTTCTCAAGAGACATAAAAATTAGCATTTTTCCTAAGCTTTCAAATGTCGTAAACTGCGTTTTAAAAATATTGATTTATTTCCGACATGCGCCTGCGCAAAATTGAAAAATTGACAAAATCCAAAATTTCGGCACTTTCGAATCCATTTTGTTTCATCTAATTACAATTTAATGTAAGCTCAAAACCCGTAATTTAATTCGATTAATAGTATATTCACATTTATTTTTATTTAGTTTCATAAATAAATTGAAATTTGGCAATATCTGAAGGCTTTTTTATAAGTATAGAATTTGTATTGATTTTTAAGAACACATTATTAGGTTCCCTTATTTTATTCCCGTTGACACAAACAAAACAATAAGCAATATGCTTTTTTAAAAAATATTAAGGAAAATATCAATTAATTGTGTCTTGTCTATGTTTTATGCTCTATTTATGGAAAATGCTTCCAGGCAGGCCCGCTTTTATAAACGGGCAGACTGGGCAGAAGCACAGGGGCTCCGGTGGTTGGGGGGCGCCCGCACTAGGAAAGAGAAAAAAAATACGTTTTGACCAACCGGGATTTCAAACACTAAAATTAAAACATGTAACTTCAACTTGTTGTTTAAGTGATTTTCCCTTGTTGAAAATATAAAAAATACAACAAAGTACGTCTTCAGATTAAAACGTTTGATTTGGAGGGGTGATTGAAGAGAAAGCAGTATGCCTTGTATAGTCAGGACACGTAGGAGTGTGAACGGGGCGCACTCACTATCCAGGGCGGTAGACTACAGTAATCAGCTGGTGACGCGCCCCTCTTCTCCCTCGTCAATACCCTTAGTGCAGTCAGTGGCCCAGTAATAGTAGTGTTGTCTTGTAGTGTGTTGTTATGTCGTCTTTTGTAATAAATTGTCGCTGTGCAGTGTCTTATTATCTTATAAGTGTTAAGATACAAGTGTTATAACTCAAGAAGCGGTTTTAAACGATGGAAAACAAAAGAAAGAACTAAAAAGTAATGATGGAAAACAAGAGAGAGAACCGAAAATCACGTTGCCAAAATCATCGACAACATGACTGGTACACTTAGACATCGTATGGAAAGCTACTCTTCTCTCGGTACTAGATTTGAAATTTTCAAAGACCTTCACGACACATAAGATCAACGTAGAAGCAACGAGGCTAGCTGAATCGTACCCAAATGCTCTTGACATTGATTCTCCTATCAATAAGTGCCTTCACTCCCAAGGGTACATGAAACTCGAAAACATTAAATATTTAAAAGAGTGTGTTGCTTACATCAGCAATAATAGTACTTACCGAACCTAGAAATTGCCATGAGCATATTCTTAACTGTTCCCGTGACAAGCTGTTCTGCGGATAAGAGAGGAAAAACTGAACAGCCTAATGTTTTTATATGCGGCAAGTGACATGACCTCCAAAGTGGACTTTAACAGTGTCATTGACGAATTTTCTTAAATAAAATAGAGGAAATAAGCAATTTTTTAATAAAACTTACAAAGAGCAGAGACATCGTGATCGATGGTCAAGATAATGTACGAAATAAAAAAGGAGAACATTGTAATTAGTTGTAAATAGATGTAAATATTTTTGAATAATAACGACAAACGACTTTGTGGTGGGTGGTCCGTGATGCGTTAAACACTTGTCATATTTAGGATTTATAGACTTTTACTATTTGTACAAAAACTACCTCAATGTGTCAAAATTGTTTATTAGCTACCGGTTTCCAATCCGGAACACGGCAGAATGGGATGACTTTCTTTGAAGAGTCAAGAGATATGAAAAACTCCCTCCGGAACTAAAACGTAAAAAACACATGTTAATGTATAAATATATATTAACATATATGTAACAGTTATATATATGAGGGGGCGCTACTTTTGGGTTTGCCCAGGACGCCACTGACCCTTAACGCGGCCCTGCTTCCAAGAAATACAAATACTAAAGACAGAAGAAAGAAATACCTTTCATTTTTAAATAAACATGACACAAATATGGAATAAAAAAACGAAAACGTCAATTAAATAGAGCATCAGTTTTTATTAACAAGAACTGGGTACGATTTTTTTGGTACTTTTATTTCATATTAATTCTAATAAGGAATTATTACTTTGTTTAAATTATAGTAGTAGAAAATAAAAAAAAATAATGCTGATATTCTAGCAATTAAAATCTTATTCACTTTGTTATAAAGAGTAATCCAAATTTTTTCTAAAGTAGTGATCAGTTTTTTTTTTTAGTGTGAGTTTTAATTTAAATTAGAACCACTATTAAATGTTTGCACTTAAAAATAAAATCCAAAACTAAGTAGTACGAAACAAAGTTCCTCTTTCTTCGTAGGAATATTTTTCTTTATCTATGTGTCTTTATTTACCAGGTGAACCTGGTACTGGTGAATCATAAATTATTTACATGTTTACATAACAACGTATTTTTGCTTGCAGAAAATTCAATCTTGCGCTCTATGGACGATAACAAAAATTGTGTAATTCTAAAAGTGAAAATGTAGACCCCGAAACAAGTCATCTGTTATAGGTTTGACGGTAAAGTATGTGTAACGAGAAGTGAGCTGAGGCATCTTTAGTGGACTGGAACTGGGTTCATGCTTGGCAGCAATGTCGTCTTACAAATCTCGCTTTTGGAACTATATTTATTTAGCTCAATAGCTTTAAAGCGATTTTTCGCTACATTTCTATCGCCGGAAGGCAACACCTCAGAGGCAATCGCCTTGCGTAAATAGAAAAGAGACACCATGATGATGAATTATATCTTGACTTTTCCTATATTTGTCAATCGAAAAATAACCTCAATTATTTTTAACTTGTAAAACTGAAATTGTTTTATCCCAAGAAATATACGTTTTTGAGCATGTCTCTCCGGCTGCACCCGTAACATTCTTTTTAATTGTACCTGATAACTTCTCCGTATAATTGAGAACACTCTCGTAGTGTTGAGGTCGCAATCTCCTCTTTAGTAAATAAATTAATTGCGTGAATAGGATAAATAATAAATGCATTCAAAATCACTAATAGACCAATCAGTTATATTGGTAATACTACAAATAATACAAAGTGACAACTGCCAAATCCAACATAATTTACTTCAATGCTTCAATCATCTTTAGAAGACATAGGAGTGAGAGGTACTGCTAATGATTTGTTTGCAAGCTACTTAACAGGTAGAAAACAAAAAGTAAAAATCAAGCAGGATCTAAGTAGTGAACAAACTATCATGTGTGGTGTCCCTCAGGGAACAGTGTTGGGTCCAGTGTTATTTATAATTTACCTAAACAATTTGTTTTTATTAGAAGAAGACAACAAAATAATTAGCTTTGCAGACGACACGGTAATATTTTATACAGCTGAAAATTGGTTTGAACTAAAACAAAAGGCTGAGGTCCATTTATCCGAAATTAAAAATTGGTTCGATCACAGACTACTTTCAATGAATTTCAAAAAAACTTTGTATGTACCTTTTAGTTCTCTAGACTCATCTCTTCCAAATTTTAAGTTAACAGTCCAAAACACAATTCAAATTCAACCTGCAAACCAAATAAAATATCTAGGTATTTTCATTGATAGTATGCTAAAATGGAACGTACATATTGATTTTTAAGAAAAGAAACTTAGATCAATTCTATATAGGTACAAACAGATCTCAGAGATACTGGATATTAAACAAAAAATTATAGTATACCAAAGTATAGTTGAACCGCATATTAGATATGGTATTTTAGGATGGGGCGGTGTTACTAGAACTCACCTAAATTCTTTGGAAATTCTTCAAAGAAGATTTTTACGTATTATTTTAAATAGAGAGGCTTTGTGTGCAAGTGATCAACTATATAAAGATACAAATATATTAGACTGTCGTCAGCTATTCTTTCTTCAAGCATGCAATACTCAGTTTATGACGAAACATTCCCTCAAAACTGGAACACATAAGTACGGCACAAGACAAAGGGAGGACATTATCTTGCCTTTTATGTTCAAGTCTATAGGACAAAGAAGTTTTAATTATCTGGGTCCTAAAGTTTTAAATTTGTTTCTAAAAAATACAGATAATGTAAACACAAAAAACTTGAAAAAAAAAATTCAACAAGTTCTGATGCAACTACCGCGACAAGAAATAAAAAAATTGTTAGATTAGGAATAAAATAGGAAAAAAACAAAAACACAAAAAATAAAAAAAAAAAACAACAATCTAAACGTATAAAAAAAAACGCAAAAAAAATTAAAGAAATCATCCAACAAATAGTATATTTCTTACAATTGTTTTTGATTTGTTTTAATTAATTTTTAAATTGTTTTTAATTTGATTTTAATTTTAGTTTTTAGTTTTAGTTTTAATATGTTTTTAATCATTAACCTATATATGTCTGTTTATTTTGTTTTATTATGCAAAAGCATGCTTACACACAGACATTTTATGTCTCGTAAGTTTTCTTTTATTCACATAGGTACCATTAATTTTCTTTTGTATCACAAGTTTTATAAGTATGTATGTATTTATTGTTTTTATGTGAATAAATTATTATTATTATTATTATATTATTATTATAAACAATAAAATTCATTTTGTTTTCACGTAGTTTTGAAAGAAAAATGTCACTTTCACCGAATTCATCCGAAGATGAAATCGACATGTTTATGAACAAAGTATCAATTCGCTTAACCATCGAAAGGAGGTTGCTTTTCATCTATCGCTCCAGAGTGACGATAAGCGAGAAACGAAACGATGTGTGTTTTCTGTTCGGGGTTTTAAAACGAAGTATTGTGTAGCGATAGGTGGATTCTGACCCCGAAGCATCCTTACTGTTGAACGTTTTAAACTGAAGTATTTAGCGAGACCTGATGACTTTTGAAAGTTCAAAAGCGGAGTGAAAGACAAAAGCGGCTATGTGTATCAGCAGGAGAAGGGTGTTTGTTAGTTATTGTATGTTGAGGGCGTGTCCAACTGACGATCATTACATTGGCATGTGAAAATTCGTTAGAAATATTTTTGACTTTTGTTGAGTGGGAAAAAGAGAAATGTTGCGCTGTAAGAGATAGAGTATATGTTGAAATGTGGTAAGGTTTTGAGTTGTACTGGTGCCTACGTGATGTTTCTCAGGTTTTGAAAACAATAATATGTATCTGGAGCGAGATGAGATTGTTATTTGTAGGATAGATAATATGCATTTCTTGAATGCGTGGGTTTAACACAAATGGGTTAAAAAAGGCAAGTTTTCAAAATGTTATGTTTAAATTTAAGATTCTTGCAGAATTTAAACAGACCCAAGACATAAAGAATTCAAAAATGTAATGCAATTTCGTTCATTTCAAGTCCTGTTTTTAATAATTAAAATGAGACTATTGATATCCTTTCATTGGTCATACTGTCATACCTAATATTGCATGAATGGTCTCAATATGGTCCTGAATTTGCCTTTGGTGTTGAGCTCTTATATTGACTCTATAAAGAAGTAAAGCCATCGCTAGAATTATACCAATTAAACCTAAAAAAGTAATTAAACAGTTTTAGTATAATAAAAAAATGAAAAAGTATTTCATTACTGTCAAGATATATGAAATTACTTATATGATTGTGAATAAAGAATTAAAACTTGTTTATACTAGCTAGTTCATACCAAAACTGCAGGTCAAAAACACGAAAGTAGCCGTTGTTATATCAGAATATGGTTCAGTTTTGGGAAATAGAAAATTTGGGATTTTGGAAAACTCTCGATGATCCTTAGGATCTAAAACAAATATTGAGTATTATTTCTATTTCTGTATAAGAAGAGAAACCAGATTTTTTACAATACCTTGAAAACAGTTTAATTCATCACTGTTATCACCACAATGATCAAAACCATCGCAATTAAGCAAAACTGATATACATCTCATGTTGTGGCACAAAAAGTCAGAACCTCCGAAGCAATCTAAAAAAAAATAAAATGCAGAGTGTTTTCGTAATGATGTTTCAATATTTTAATGGGGGAGTGATAGTGTTCTACGAACCATATTAAAGGGGGATTTCTTATAAAAAATGGTAATTTGAGTTCCTATTTTTAATTGGTTCTCCAGATACAACTGAAGATTCTCTGATTAAAAATAAGTCAATTAAACGAAACATGGTTACATAAAATCCCAGGCAGCACACTTTGGTATAAATTACGTATTTTTTTAGGTACTACCATACGTATGAATACGGTTGATGTACTACCAAATATATTCGTGAAAATGTCCGCCTTATAAACGTCGATTACTAAGAATTTATCCACCTATAATTAAACGTTTTTACTATACGTCTATATTAGATTTATAGTTGTAGTATATTTATACGAATTCATTTTGGTATAAAATACGTTTATTATGTACTACAATATACGTATGGATACTGTTGATATGCTACCCAATATATATGTGAAAATGTCCGCCCTATAAACGTATATTGTTTTTTATTTTTTATACGTCTAACATTTCTACTTTATCTACCTTTAATTATCCTGTTTTACTATACGTCTATATTAGATATATTTGTATGATTTTTATTAATGTGTAAAATGCGTCTACCTGATATTGTTTTAAATGTATTTCAAACACAAATTAAATAAAGTTATCAAAACAAAATTTCTAAAAGAGGCCATGGAAAAATGTTAATATTTCTTAAATGATAGTTTGGATTTTATCCATAGCAGGTGTGTATACACCAGAAATAGGCATTACTCGTGTTTCTATTTTGGTTGTAATTGGCCTAAATATTTAGAAAAATTTTTTGATCACTTGTTATATGTACAGAACAATATTTAATTAAAAAAAAAAATTAAAAATAAAATACTAAAAAATAAATAAATACAAAAAAATAAACACTAAAATACTGAATAACAAACTAAACAAACTTTTCTTTAACTAACAAAAAATATATATGAAAATAAAAATCTTAGCTTAACACTTTGGATGTGTTGTGTCCCAGACGGGCCTTAGCTAATTTAAGCTAATCTTGCATAGCACACCTAATCGTTCGGTCGGTTAAGTCGCTTGGTTCACCACCATTTCTATAACCAAAATGTAACTCAATTTCAGGTGAAATATTTTCTAAAAGCTCCGAAGTTAAATTTGTATTATTTTCTTGGAAATTATTATAAATAATAGAATCAAATGATATATTAATGTCCGAAGCTTTATTAATGTTATCTTCATTGGGAATAAAAAAAATTGATTTGACTTTAAAGCATCTTGAACATTTTGCGCTATTTTTCTACGTAGATGACGCAGAGACAGGGTTATTTTAGACATTTTATTAAATAAAAAACAACTGACCAAAAAAAAAGGAAAATAAGTATGCTTGGAATAACTAGGTAAAAATAAAAGAAACAAAAGTAAGGTTATGTTTTGAAGTTTCAAGCATTTAACACACTGTACGTATCTATAAAACAGTAGTTGTTGTAAAATGCAACAATTATTAAAGAAGTAGCTAAATTAAAACATTAATAGAAACTTACCTATGCTATTAATCAATATCGTAAAAGCCAGGACGCCAAAGCAACAAAACGTGTACAGAAATGAAAATGGACGAACCGATGAACCTGCTCCCACAAACTATTCCCTACACTGAACAATAATACTACACATACGCATGAGTAGAAATGAGAAAAGACCGTACCACTAGTACGTCATCCTCCATCCGCCATCTAAAAATAGTTCTATGTGTATGGGGAATTTGTTATAAATATAACAGGTAATATAATTAAAAAACTATGGATGTAATGTAAATAAATATATCTATAAGCTTTTAATTTAAATAAACCTAAATATATACATATTATTTACTTCTGTCTACTAGTTCATCGTAAACTGATATTATGCGTTTAAGGTGACTTATATTTAAACGTAGAATAATATAGGTATATTAACTAGTATCGACAAACAGAAGCGTTTAATTTATCTGTTAAAAAACGTTAAGTATAAAAATGGTAGATGGTAAACGTTTAAAAAATCAATCAAGACAAAATTTAAACGGGAATTATAAACGAAAAAAACATATTGTAATATAATGTAAATTTATACGAATTTAATTTAAATAAACCTAAACGTATATTTAGGCCCACTGTATATAAATAGTTCATCGCAAACTAAAAATAGTCGTATATCGTTAACTATATTTAAACGTAGAAAAATTTACAATTACAAACGTATAATGTACCGTTTAAAACACGGTATGTATAATAATCGTAAACTGTAAACGTATACGCAATCGACCAATACCAAAATTAAACGAGTATTACGTATAAAATACGTTAGTTATACTAATGTGTGCTGCCTGGGATATTACTGGTTTCCGAAATACAGAGCGTTAAAGATAAAATTTCAAAAAATATTAATGGCTATAATTTTTTATTTCTCAGTATAATTTTAATAAATTCGGTAAACATTGTTAGTATCATGAGGTACACCCATCAGCAAAACAATCAGTACAAGAAACTTTACGACACTGTCCAAAAACCTATTTGGAATATACCATACAGATTTTATTTTAATTTTGTAATTTTGGATTTTTTTTTTTATTTACAACAGGAGTACATGATTTATTAAAAAAAAAGAAAACATAAAAAAAATCAAAATTATAATCCAAATAAGTTTTTGGAGAGTGGCATAAAATTTAGATGGAACGAATAAGGTGTTACTTACCCATGTCGTATTCCACTGGTAAAAGTAAAAACTGATTTTTTTTTGTTGATTGGTGTATCTTATGACACCAAGATGTTTGCTTAGTGCAATTTTATATAAAAAACAAATTTACAAAATTAAAAAATAAATTCAATTGAAGAATATCCATCTTTGAGTGTATCTCACTTTATGAGTTCCCAATGATTACCATGATTTATTTGAAAAAGATCAACAAATATAGTAGTATAGTCAAAATAAGTTTTTGGACAGTAGCGTAAAATTTAGAAGGGATGAAGGTTTTACTCATATACATGCCGTACTCCACTGGAGAAGTTTATTTGACTAATTGTTTTGCTGATTAGTGTATCTTGTGACACCAAAAATGCTTACAGAATTTAGTAAAATTTTACTAAGAATTAAAAAAATTATAGCTATTAATAATTTTTGAATTTTCAAATTTTATATCCTGTATTTCAGAAACTAGTAATATTTTAACAAAGCATGTTTTGTTTAATCATCTTATTTTTAATCACAGAATCTTCAGTTGTTCTGTGTCCCATTCATAAAGATTTTTGTACGAAACTGTTGAATATACAAAATTACGTGTTGTACTTATTCATATATTTTGGTATAATTGACCTTAAAGAAAAAAGTTCTCAAAGAAATAAAGAGACGTTCCTTTCTAATTTCTACTCTTTAGAAATATGCACTAAACAACAGATAAGGATATCACAAAATAGGGTTCGCCTAAAGGATAACGTGTACATAAATTACAATTTTTTTTTTATTATTTTTATAAGTAGGCAGATATCGACTAAAATTGGTATCTGAGAATTTTCGAAGCCAAAACTGACACATCATAAATAAGTTTTTAAAAATTCAATATGGCGTTGAAAAAAATCGCATTTAATCAAAAAAGGTTCCCTTTGAATTGAAATTAAAAAATTCGTCCATTTGCTTTGTGCAAGTGGACCATTTTAAAAGCAGCCAATCATTATTTTTCAATAAGGGTGAACTTGACAAAGATTACCGAGCGGACGCGAAGTGAGATTTCGGGTGGGATCAAGAGGAAGATCGGTGGAGAGAGAAATGTGAAAAAGGGTTTTTGGTTTGGTGGTTTTAATTTTAAATTATTAAATTTTAAGTACTTGAGCGTTCCCTGTTTTTACAATTTCTACATCGCGGAAAGTTCTGTGTAAAATACTTTACTGGTTTTTAAAAAAGACATTTCGCCTTTAAAATGCCTTACTTAAGACGGAATTTGCACGCCAGGAAATTCATAACAAAAACTACAAATTAACTAAGTTGTCAATAGATGGCGATTAGATGCACTTCTGCGAAATAATTCAAATGTTGAATTATACCTGCCTGTTTGCCAAGTTGTGTAAACTACTTTCCGGCGACCCGACAAGCGTCCCCTCCCTCCCAAACCTAAAGTGCTCGTAACATTTTATTGTACCGCCGGACGAGACAAACACTATAACATTAGAATATCGAACCTATAGGGACCGTATTTAAATAATTTTGTCCACGACCACTTAATAATAAATCAATATTCTACCTCCTAACTAAAAGCATATAGTACCCATATATCACGGAGTGAATTATGATAATTCACGCTTTTGTAATTCTGGCACATTCCGCTAGATAACTAAAGATAGGCGATACTTTTCATAACGATATTTTCTAGATCGAAAAATCAAAAAATCGATAAATCGAAAAGTCGAAAAATCGAAAAATCGAAAAATCCAAAAATCGAAAAATCGAAAAATCGAAAATCGAAAATCTAAAATCGAAAATTGAAAAGTGGAAAAAACAACAGTTAGTTATCTATGTTTAATAAAAACTTTCCATTCTACACTTAACTTTTATTTAATAAAGAAACCATAATGGTCGTGGACAAAGTATTAGACTCGCAATTTATGGCCATTATTCACTCGGGTGACTTGCGCCCCTCGCCTACGGCTCGGGACGCAAACGTCATCCTGCGTGAATAATGGCTACCATAAATTGCTCGTTTAATAATATACTATTATGAACCAGAATAAAACTTTTAGGACAATGTAATATAAACATTTGAATCTATTTTGGTTCGTATATTATTAAGTAGTTCTTTGTTCATCCAGTCTGAGCTTATTTGTTAGTTATCATTGTTTTGTTTTGTGTTTTTTTAGGTAGTTACACGTTACCCAGCAGTTGATTAACTGAGTTTGTTTATTAAATTTCATTTTGTTCTTGTTTGTGGTGGCGCAAATAGATTATGCTTTTATGCTTAAGTAGGCCTTAAGGAAAAAAGCATAATCTATTCGCTCCATTATTTATCCATCATGATTTAAAAAGCAGTGAAGCGATTGATACTGTTGACAGTTGTAAGCAAAACATGTTTGACGACGGTGAAGACGGTCAATAATAAGTAATAGTAATAATTCATTTTATTGACCTTAAATTAACTATTTACGAAAAAATCTGATGTGTCCAACACTTGACTTTCCTATCTAGTTGTTACAGGCTTTTCCCGATTATTTTGTACAACCTATTGCAGCAACTTTGTAAATGTTTAAAGGATAAACTAAATATATACATTTACATACATCTAACTCGAAACATTTTTCGATATATATTCACTGCAAATGAAAACACTGAAAAAATTTAATTTTACACTTTTCCTCCAGTTTTTCTATTACGGTCCATTTTAGAGAAATAATGTAAAAAACAAAAATGATAGAGATCGATATTGCAAACAACTTTTAGTTTACCAATTTTCTTAAAAATCAGAATTTGCACCTTTTATCAAATTTCTCGAATACGGTCCATTTATGGAAAAAATTGTAAAAAGTGAGAATTATAGAGAATAATATTAAAAGTAACTTTTATTTAAAGAATTTTCTTCGCCAAACATAAATAACAGATATATTCAATAAAACATAAAACGACCTCCCATAAAGTAACCCCGTCCCCAGATGTTCCGACTTTGTCCAAAATCTAATCAATTCACCACAGGTCGGAATAACGCTTCAATTTAACAAATAATGTTTTTTCTTTATCCGCTTTCGAGTTTTCTTCAAAATTCTAAATTTACACTAATTATCAAATATCTCGAATTCGGTCCACTTTAGAGAAATTATGTCTAAGACAAGAATTATAGAAAATTGTATCACAAACAACTTTTATATAAATCATTTTCATAAAAATTTGAATTTTTTACATTTTGTCAAATTTCTGGAATACGAACCATTTTAGCAAAATTTTGTATATAATAAAAATTGTAGAAAATATTATTTGAATTAACTTTTATTCAAAGAATTTTCTTCTACAACCGTAAATAACAAATATATTCCATAAAATATAAAAATGAATGAATAATTTTCACGTAAATCCAGCAAGAAAAAACAAAACTCAACATTATATTTAATATCTGACAAATTACGTTCTTATATTTTGTAATATAAAAATGAAACATTTTACAAAATCTCTACACGTTTTAAATGTTTCTCCAAAACCAGACTTAACACAATTTACCTAATTTTTGTAATAAAATAACGAACTTCCTTGCTTCCGATACTTCATAACAATATGACAACATTGCTCGATATAAATTTGATATTTTCAGGTGGCGTCATCTATATAAGATTGCCTGAACCTAAAATTACAGGAATTACACCTGTTTTATGTAATGTTGGTTGCGTTTTTTGGGTTAAAATTAAAAATTTTTGTGCATATAAGACTGGAAAATGAAAGCAAAAAATGAAATATTTCTTATGCGGAGCCTCTAATGGGAATATATTCTAGTTCCTGAAATAGTTTTTATAGCGATTTATGATGACTTTTTTACATGTAAAATTTTCACAAATTCGTTATTTTCTTCATTCTCTCAATTTTTTTCCACTTTAAAATATATTCAGGAACTAGTTCAATACTATTAGAATATTATAAAAGCAAATCCGCATAAATTCATTGTCTAGAAAGCCCGTCTTATATGTTGAAAAATTCTCCTATGCTAATACATTTGCTAACGCCGCCTTAATCAACTATGTATAAACGGTATGAGCCATGTATCGCACTTATTTTTAGTTTCTCATCTCCAATTTGGCAAAAAGGAATACTTATATATGGAATCACCTCGATGTCTCTCTGTCCCAAAAATATATTTTTGTGTTATTTTTATCAATTATAAACACTTAAAATATTTTCTACTTTACCTTTGTAATTAAACGCAGCATATATGATAGCCAATTGAGATTTTGGGGTAAAGATGCCTCTTAATCTTATGTAAAATCCCTGATTAATAGGAACAATATGCTCAACTTGCTTAGAACTGCCAAAATGTGCCGCAGGGTGACGCAACGTTTCTACGGAAGGCTGATTTGATGTGGCTCCCTGTCTAATAGTCAATTCAGTGGTACCAGCTGAAATAAAAACATAGGAGCTCAGGGTTTGTTAACTACATTTTATCTAAAATTTACACATGTGGCACTATCTGTATATTGTCAAGTTTTATATGAATTAATATTTTTCAAACAAATTTGTTACTAAAATAACATTCTGTGTATAAATATTGTTTAATTTATTCAAGGATTTGCGATCATGTACAAGGTTGCTTATTTAATAATTAATAAGAAAAGAAAGGAGTGCAGTAATTTAATTTGCAGAACGTAGTACAGAGGTAGACATTTTATTTGTACCTCATCCTTCAATGCTTATTTGTAGTTAAAATGAAAATTTTTATACATCTGATTGGCCTAATAAAAGTTTTAATCATATTTCCATGGTTTTTACTGTAATAAACCTTTAATTTTGATAAATAAGTCAGACTTTATTCATTCATTGCCGTAAAGTATGTATTTTGATTCGGAATTTTGTATTAGTTTATATTATAATTTTACAGTTATATAAGAATGGCGAGTGAATTAGAAAATATTGCAAGCACAAGTACGCGTAAACGATCTAGTGGACACAAAGTATAATCTTTAGAAGAAAAAATATCTTACTTATGTATTTAATAATCTTCGAATAGACTGTTTCACTTTCTGTAGATGAAATAGCTACTAAATATGGAGTATCTAAGCGGACACAGTATTATATTACTAAAGAAGAAATAGTTATTGGAGATATCTCACATCTTAAAAGCCCTAAGGAAGAAACAAGACATTTATTGAAACTTGGGTAAGGAATGTAATAAAGCAAATGGTACAATCTTTTTTCTTTCGAAATGAAATCCTTAAAATAATACACTCAGAAATAGATATATGATTATTTAAGGAAAATAGCGGGCGCAAGGAATCAGCATAAACAGGTATTTTATTTAGATGAAACATGGGTTAATACTGACATAAAGTAACAAAATTTGGCAGATACCTCCATCAAAACTACAAAACAAGCCTTCATGAAATGGGTCTTATGGATTAAAAAATTCAACAGAAAAGGAAATCGTTTAATAATAACCCACATTGGAAGCACCAAAAGATTTTTGCCAGAATATTAATGTTCGAGTCACAGAAAACAAAAGACTACCATGAAGAAATGGATGGCCCTATGTTTGAAAATTGGTTTCAGAACATTATAAAAAAAAATCCAGCCAACTCCGTTATTGTTTTGGGTAATGCATCATATCACAGTTTATTAAAGGAGTCACTACCTACAACAACATGGAAAAAGAAGATATTTCAAAATGGCTTCATTCTAAAAATATTGTCAGTCCTCCTAAATCCTTGAAGGCAGAATTACTCGTGCAACATAAAAACAATATATTATAGACGAGATGGCCCTAGAAAAAGGAATTGAAATTCTCAGATTGCCTCCTTACCACGCAGAGTTAAATCCCATTGAACTGATTTGGTCACAATTAAAAGGTTGTATTTCTCGAAGCAATACAACATTTAAATTACCTAATGTGCGAAATTTGTTTTTGAAGGCAGTTTCAGATGTAAATGGAGAACATTGGAGAAAATGCATTGATCATGTTAAAATGGTGGAAAATTCATTTTGGAAAGTGAATATAGCAATGGAAAACTTAATAGACTATAATATTAAACCTCAGAAAAACAATGATAATGATACCAGTAGTTATAGTGAAGACAGTGACTTTTAAAGATAAATCTTGAACTTTTTGATTCTAGGTACTGAAGTGTTACTTATAATGCCAAGAGATTAAAAAAAGTTTAATCTCATTAACAACATATAATCCTCCTTGTTATTTACTGGTTAAATTTAATTCGTTCAATGTTAAAGTGCAACAATTTTGTCAGAAGCATAAGGTTTATTTTTATTTTTTGTAATTAACTTTTTTCATTCAAAATTTAATCTACGTAGTGCGTATATACCATTTTATATGCCATGCTCTTATTTATACTATAGTTAACTTATTTTGCAAAGTACGCCTATGGAATCCGTTGTTATATCCCCACTTTTATTGCACTTCTCTTTTATTCAGACTATAGTCTAATAACAATAAACAATGGAAACCTTGTAAAGGTAATCTAAGGGTGATGCAAGGATATTTTTTCCATCGGGTAGGATTCTCTGTGTAGGAGATTCTCCTGGCATCATTTTCTCGGTAGCTACTTTAGATTGCGGAGACTCCTACCGGCTCTATATTTCGATTGGGAATAGTTGAATCGCAGTTTGGACTAATATGAGTATGTCATAGTTGATGATATGTGATATATTGAAGTTGGTAAGTATACTTAATTTTCTATATTTTTTTATTGTATTTGTGTATGTCGAGTTGTATTTGCTAGGATCGTTGTATAATATATTTGTTTTGAGAAAACTGTATTTCCTTTAGTTTCTTGCAGAGGTACGTTAGGCCGTGATAACAAGATTAGAACCCTATTATAGTTAAGACCGATTCCTTAACCCCCTGAGACATAGTCCCATTTTTGTGCTATTAAACCCCAATAATAGCTTCGTTCGCGGTAAGAATCCTGAACCGAATTATTATTATTAATAGTAACGATTTCGCATGCGCCGTAATTGAAAACTGTTGGCGGAACAAAAGAACTGAATTACTGCTTCTATCTTGTGTTCGCGGTAAAATTATTATTAGTTAATAGAGGTTGCGCGCGCGGTAAAAATTCAGAATTGTTAAAGAATCGCGGGCATGCGCTTAGGTCCGTATTGATAAACAGAACTTAGCTGAGTTGGACTTGGGTAAGTCGTCCTTGAACTAAAATCGAAGTTCGGTTGTATCGCGTGAATTTAGAGATGGGTAGTAACAAATCCGTAAATGTACTTTACAGTTACAGATTTGCTAATATCCATCTCTAAATTCCAGTATAACACCAGAACCATCTGTAACTTTAGAGACGTTGTAACCGAACTTCGATTTTAGTTAAAGAACGACTTACCCAAGTCCGACTCAGCTGAGTTCTGTTTATAAATACGGACCTTAAGGTATGAATTAGTAGTTCAGATCACATACTTTGATTAATATACGAGGCAAGAGAGAGGTCCGACACGCCCAACATAGGGCGCGGCCATTTTGAACCCTGTGACATAGTTTACAGCTAAAGAATCAGATCGCTCACTCTGCGTCGGCACTTTTGATCTCAATGTTTCAGTTTATACACTGTGCAACTCGGATAATACAATATATGACAACCACCTATAATAAAACAGCAGTCTTCTGCGTATCCTGAATTTGTATTCCTGGAGTGGATGTTATTTTGGAACTCTCAACTGGTCCGAGTATAAACTGTGACTTCAAAAATAATATTCACTGACACTGACAGCAGCAAGCAAAATATCAGGTGCGTTTTAATCATCCGCTTCTGCTTCCGGAATTGTCGGTTTAGTCGTTTTAACCTGTCAGATTAAAACAAGAAAACCGACAATTCCGAAGCAGAAGCGGATGATTAAAACGCACCTATTAAAAATAATGCGCCAAGATGTAGGCAACACGTAATAAGGGTTCAAAATGGCGGAGTTTTCTATCTCCTTTTAAAAGGCACTCAGAAATCTGCGCAGTGCGACCATTCTCCGTATAGTAAAAGAAAATCAAAGTATGTGAGTTCAGATACATTTTTGACAGATCCCGTAGCTCTTGACATAGTCGCCCCCTATATTGTGACATTGTCACGATATTCGGGTTCTTTGAATAGTAGTTGTCATCTATTGCTCGGAGGTTGTCATGATATAACGTGCTCTATGAATTTAGAAGGCGACTAATAAGTCACAATTTTTGTGATGTGTGAACTGTCACAAATATATTATGTGACCTATTAAATATCTAAATTTATATAAAGCTTGACAATATATCCGTAATATTAATTACAAAAATATGAAACTTATTGCTTACCGAATTCTAAAAACGTTACAATTTTAACATACAAATGCGTTTTTCTATGTCTAAAATTCTCAGGTGGTTTGACTATCCAGACACAATCAAATAAAGCTGTTCCTTTTGTAACCATGTTCATCATAGTAATTCCACCTCCCAAATTATTTACATTTCCTCCGCAACCTATGAAAAAAGTATAAATTGTGTGAATACTCTGTAGACTGTTACATAGCAAAAAGAAAGTTTTAATGTAAAGATAGGAATAGATATAGGAATTTTATGCAAGAAGATGAGAGTAAACAATTTATGTTGCTTACCTAGATGAAGATGAACTAAAAGTGAAAAAACTTTAATCTAAAAGACTTAAATTGGGACATGTTCAAGGAATAAAAGAATATTTGATTAAAAAAGAAACGGTACGATACCCAAGCCATAGAAGGATGTTGTAAGAATGGCGACAAAGTTTAGCTCCATAACCCAAAAAGGCAGATGGATAATGCTTCAAAGCTCCAACGGTCTTGGAAAGGTCTGTACCTCATTATGAAAAAAATTGATGATGTCATTTACCGTATAAGCAAGATCCCGAACGGTAAACTGAAGGTAGTACACCAAAACCGGCTGGCGCCATTTGAAGGTGACTATGACGAGGAAGAAGAAGTAAACCAGCTCCAAGAAACACCTGCCCTTATCATTGAAGAATTTCTGGGTACATATGGAGGTACCGGAAAAGCAAGACTGCTCACGGTTCTTAAAGACTACTTGCAATTCCGCCAGCATCAACGACGCTCGAGGCCTAGCATCTGTCAAGGTCAGTTACCAGTCCCTGAAAACGCCTTAAAATTTCAACCAACTGAATTGGAGGATCGTTAGAAACATGGTGGAAGTAATCTTTGAAGATGCCGAGGTTCAAATACTGGTCTGCATACAGTCGCCCATTATCCAAGTTACAGAGAAAATCGTCCACTGTTACTTCCATGCAAATGTATAAATTGTAAAAAAGGATCATTTGCAGATACAACCATTCTGTTTTAATTCCAGGAGAAACTATCGCTTAAGGAGGAGGCAGTGTCGTGTGAGGGCCGACCCTGGTCTTCTCCTTACAAGCCGCCGAGCCGTCTGTATTTCCACTGTCGCTGCCGCCCGCCTCTACTAGATTTCGAGAACTTATGGATTAGCACCGAACATTCAAGACAGAATTGGAATTTACTAGGCTGTTACATTTTTGTTTAAATAGCGTGAATTTGTCGATAGAAGCTTAAGTTCGAATATAAATGTTGTCAACGTGAATTGGTAACTAAATTAGAAGTGTGAAATATAAATAGTGCTTAAGTATAAATAAATTAATTACTACTAATCGTTACATTATATGCTTTTTCACACAATCAGTAACGTAAAGAACAGTTGCTAAACTATGAAGTAATCCACAAAATATGTTTCTGAAGGAGGCCATGGATATAACCACGTATGTATATCTACGTACAGTTCTTCTTTTCTAAATGAAATTTTAATTTAATCTAGAGGTGTTCGTAGTTATCACGAACGTGCTTCACATCTTTGTCTTTGTCAGTCATGACCTACTTTAGAAACATTTTTTGTGGATCACTCATTATTTTGTACTGTAGGAATTTTGTTCAGCTGAAAATTTTTAGATCTTACCAGAAATATTGCCTTTAATTACCTATATGGGGCTTAAAAGCGGAATCATGAATATTTCCTAAAATAAAAGAGTAAGAAGCTTTAAAACCAAGATGCGATGCACCATTAGCATAAAATCTTATCACCAGTGAAGGACCATTGCTTGTGATCACCGGGGGCCTGAAAACATTCCCAGATATAACGTACATCCTCTGCCCATTCCAGTCAAAGAACTGAAATTTAGAATATTATACCTTTAGTATTAGTAAAAAAATATGTACAAAGTAGACTGAATTTAATATACATATATGGAGATCTCGAAGACACATAATGGGGTCTATTCTCTAACAATTCCTTTATATTTAACGGCCTTTAAAAATATTTTCTTCTTTACTTCTGTCATTATTTAAACGGATCTTTAAAATACATTAGAGGAATATCTTAAAGAAATCTGTTTAAATAATGACAGAAGTAAATTAACGAATACGAACATATTTTTATAGGCCGCCAATATTTTTAAAGGCCGTTAAATATAAAGGAATTATTGTAACAGAATAGACCCCTTTATCGGTTGAATGGAAAAAGTTTCATATTTTGACGGGTAATATAATGGTCGATATAAGTTATAGATTTTCCGACTAGTCTTGTAGATATTTGATAAAATACGAAATAGCACATTCTTTTTTTAGTATATTGTTGTTATTATAAATGATAAAAATATTTAAATATACTAATTATTACAAGAGGTGTATTTGATACAACTTGTAATGACTAAAATATCTCAGAAATTATTTTCAAACCCACGTTCTATTAACTCACGTGAGCTCGAAATTCTAAGAGATTCGCTTATGAAATAAATTTCTAAATTTTGGAATTTACCTCTTCGTCTAACCTGATGTAAAAGGACCGATAACAGAATTATCTTTTATATCTCTTATTATAGAAACAGCGTGAAAAATAAATTTTATATTTCTGTGATATTAAAATGTAGCGCGTGTTTGAAATGTGTACATCGTCCTACTTAATTTCTCTTGTATTTATTTTTACGGTAAAAGATGCTTTGTATTTTTAACCTATTTTTAAAAAGTGTGGTTTGTGCAGTGAAATATAGTTTAGTCATGACCAAAATAGTTTCATCTCGGTCGCAGTGGAAGACGATGTATTCATCCCACTCAGTTTTAACCTAACCAAACTTAGCCATACTTTGCCTTTAAATTTATATAATATGTGAAAAACAATTTTAAACAATTTCTTACCTCAACAATTGATGACATGTCTAATAGAAAATCCGTAAATAGCAAGTTAATTCGACATGGTTCGATTGATTCGCAATTTATAACGTATTCTGCACTTAAATCAATTGGATACATATGTGGAAAAAATGGTGATGATAAAAACTGACTTGCGTTGTTCATTTTTCCAGGTTTAGGATAACCCCAAAATACAAACCTGTTTCCTAAAAAATAAAGTAAATTTTAATATTTTTTAAAATAAAATGTACGTTTTAACAATTGGTTGAATAATAGTAAGAAAAGTTTTGATTTTGATCAATTTTCTTCTGAAGCCTAAAATATGTCAATTTTTTCTTCTTCGTCTTCTATTTTATCTGTATATTTTTATTCATTTTATTTCAGTATTATTTCATCAATGCAAAGTTCTGGGTACATAAAAATAGAACTGTCTACTTACTCTTTGTAAAGTAGTCCAGAGTAAATGCATGTCCATATTCGTTGTTGTAAATAAACGTAAATGCCACTGTTCTTGTTTGACTGACGTATGATAGTTGGGAAGTGTTAGTCTTAACGAATCTTCCACAAAATTGTTCACCTGACGCATCTTCTATTTGTGGCTCATATATCCAAACATAATCGCATCCACAGGTATCAAAAACAGAGGCTTTTCCACAATTTCTCGAAATGTTCAAATGCCTGATTAAAATATAAAAAAACAATAAAGATAGACAACTATAATTAATATGAACATAATTCTGGAACATCAGAAGATATGAAAATTTATATCGATACTATTGAAGGATTGAAAATGCATATAGATAGATATATGTTTTCCTGAGGTAGTCCGGTTTTACATATATATAAAAAAACAAATATGAAAGATATTAATGAATACAAGTAAGTAGTAGGTGTGAACACACTGGATGATCAGAAGTTGAAGAGGAATAAAACACGTAAGTTTTAAAAATATCTAAGATATTTAATAAAATTAGTCGAGCGCTTTTGGCACATGCCATTAATCGGGACTTCTAAAAATATGGTTAACAGTTGAAGCAAACTATACAGAAAATACGAAACTCACAACTTTCTTGTCAAAAAATGATTATATAGAAGAAAAGGTGAAATCGCATAGTTCAGCCGATATAATTAAGCATAGAAAACAACGTAAAATTTAGTTTTACCAATATTTGGAGTTACTAAATACCACTTTAACTTTATCTTTATATGTTTTGGTTATAAGCAGGTAGGGTTAGGTTTGGCCCAGAACAATGCGGTCTATTGTCTTTGTTTAGTTTTAATAAGTTCCCTGTGGGTTCTTTCCGGGTTCTTTCCGGTTCTAGGTTGAAAAGGTAAGACGCTACCTAGTAAGATCATTGCATTCGAAGATCACTTGGTATGAGACTTCTTCCCCTTCCATGCAAAGTCTATACGTAGTGGGATCATTGTATAATCCCATCACGTAAAAGTGTTTTAGCAAGCAGTGTCCCGTTAGTGGACATCTGAGGCCTTGCGAGTTATAGTGCCTCAGTAGCAATGCGTGGATTTAGTCCCCTTAGCATGAGCTTACTGATTCTGTAACCTCTTATCTATTGCCAGTAAATTTGTTGTTTTGTGGTTATCCATCTGTTCACTGCCTGTCGAACAGAGGTTTTGCTTACCCCAAATACAGATTCAGGTCCTGCGAATGGTAGTTCTGGTTCCTCTTTGGCAAATTCATCAGCCTTTTTATTTCCTCGAATACCTTTGTGCCCTGGTACCCACGATAGTTTAACCTTATTGCGGGTTGCCAGTATTCCAAGGCAGTTCCAGACAAGCTTTAACTTGATTATATTTGAATCCGCCTTTAAGGCTGATGGGCTATCTGAGAGACATAAGATGGCTAGTTTCTTGTACTGCCTTCTTAAATTTTCTCATACACACAATTCGATTACATGCATTTCAGCCTAAAATACAGTAGTGTGTTTTCCAGTGAGAGGATAATGTCACATTTGGGTTTAACTCCATGTACGCCAGAGCCTGTTCCCTTTGTTAGTTTTAGATCCATCCGTATAACATACGAGACCGCTAAGCTAGTATTTCTCTACCTCCTGATTTACCTCGTTCCAGTTGCAGTTTAAACTGAAAGGGTCGGGGTATCATGTGATCTGATCTCATGTTTAATATAGGATCATTTACTTCATGTATTATTCTGGTTTGTTCCCATCGGGACAAAAAAATATCCGAAAAAGTGATGAGAAATAGCGTCAAATCCACAAATATTCAACCATCTTAAGCCACCTACATCAGGTTGAATAGGTCGGAACTTTTCGGTCGGAAGGCAGTAGATTGAATCAAACTTAAACGCTTATATTTTTCCTCGAGAGAAGAAAAAACCAAAACTATTGTTATCATCAACATCTTTACCATCTTTAACATCTTTAACATCTTTAACATCTTTAACATCTTTAACATCTTTAACATCTTTAACATCTTTAACATCTTTAACATCTTTAACATCTTTAACATATTTAACATCTTTAACATCTTTAACATCTTTAACATCTTTAACATCTTTAACATCTTTAACATCTTTAACATCTTTAACATCTTTAACATCTTTAACATCTTTAACATCTTTAACATCTTTAACATCTTTAACATCTTTAACATCTTTAACATCTTTAACATCTTTAACATCTTTAACATCTTTAACATCTTTAACATCTTTAACATCTTTAACATCTTTAACATCTTTAACATCTTTAACATCTTTAACATCTTTAACATCTTTAACATCTTTAACATCTTTAACATCTTTAACATCTTTAACATCTTTAACATCTTTAACATCTTTAACATCTTTAACATCTTTAACATCTTTAACATCTTTAACATCTTTAACATCTTTAACATCTTTAACATCTTTAACATCTTTAACATCTTTAACATCTTTAACATCTTTAACATCTTTAACATCTTTAACATCTTTAACATCTTTAACATCTTTAACATCTTTAACATCTTTAACATCTTTAACATCTTTAACATCTTTAACATCTTTAACATCTTTAACATCTTTAACATCTTTAACATCTTTAACATCTTTAACATCTTTAACATCTTTAACATCTTTAACATCTTTAACATCTTTAACATCTTTAACATCTTTAACATCTTTAACATCTTTAACATCTTTAACATCTTTAACATCTTTAACATCTTTAACATCTTTAACATCTTTAACATCTTTAACATCTTTAACATCTTTAACATCTTTAACATCTTTAACATCTTTAACATCTTTAACATCTTTAACATCTTTAACATCTTTAACATCTTTAACATCTTTAACATCTTTAACATCTTTAACATCTTTAACATCTTTAACATCTTTAACATCTTTAACATCTTTAACATCTTTAACATCTTTAACATCTTTAACATCTTTAACATCTTTAACATCTTTAACATCTTTAACATCTTTAACATCTTTAACATCTTTAACATCTTTAACATCTTTAACATCTTTAACATCTTTAACATCTTTAACATCTTTAACATCTTTAACATCTTTAACATCTTTAACATCTTTAACATCTTTAACATCTTTAACATCTTTAACATCTTTAACATCTTTAACATCTTTAACATCTTTAACATCTTTAACATCTTTAACATCTTTAACATCTTTAACATCTTTAACATCTTTAACATCTTTAACATCTTTAACATCTTTAACATCTTTAACATCTTTAACATCTTTAACATCTTTAACATCTTTAACATCTTTAACATCTTTAACATCTTTAACATCTTTAACATCTTTAACATCTTTAACATCTTTAACATCTTTAACATCTTTAACATCTTTAACATCTTTAACATCTTTAACATCTTTAACATCTTTAACATCTTTAACATCTTTAACATCTTTAACATCTTTAACATCTTTAACATCTTTAACATCTTTAACATCTTTAACATCTTTAACATCTTTAACATCTTTAACATCTTTAACATCTTTAACATCTTTAACATCTTTAACATCTTTAACATCTTTAACATCTTTAACATCTTTAACAACTTTAACAACTTTAACAACTTTAACAACTTTAACAACTTTAACAACTTTAACAACTTTAACAACTTTAACAACTTTAACAACTTTAACAACTTTAACAACTTTAACAACTTTAACAACTTTAACAACTTTAACAACTTTAACAACTTTAACAACTTTAACAACTTTAACAACTTTAACAACTTTAACAACTTTAACAACTTTAACAACTTTAACAACTTTAACAACTTTAACAATTTTAACAATTTTAACAACTTTAACAACTTTAACAACTTTAACAACTAACTTTAACAACTTTAACAACTTTAACAAATTTAACAACTAACTTTAACAAAGTTAACAACTAACTTTAACAACTTTAACAACTTTAACAACTTTAACAACTTTAACAACTTTAACAACTTTAACAACTTTAACAACTTTAACAACTTTAACAACTTTAACAACTTTAACAACTTTAACAACTTTAACAACTTTAACAACTTTAACAACTTTAACAACTTTAACAACTTTAACAACTTTAACAACTTTAACAACTTTAACAACTTTAACAACTTTAACAACTTTAACAACTTTAACAACTTTAACAACTTTAACAACTTTAACAACTTTAACAACTTTAACAACTTTAACAACTTTAACAACTTTAACAACTTTAACAACTTTAACAACTTTAACAACTTTAACAACTTTAACAACTTTAACAACTTTAACAACTTTAACAACTTTAACAACTTTAACAACTTTAACAACTTTAACAACTTTAACAACTTTAACAACTTTAACAACTTTAACAACTTTAACAACTTTAACAACTTTAACAACTTTAACAACTTTAACAACTTTAACAACTTTAACAACTTTAACAACTTTAACAACTTTAACAACTTTAACAACTTTAACAACTTTAACAACTTTAACAACTTTAACAACTTTAACAACTTTAACAACTTTAACAACTTTAACAACTTTAACAACTTTAACAACTTTAACAACTTTAACAACTTTAACAACTTTAACAACTTTAACAACTTTAACAACTTTAACAACTTTAACAACTTTAACAACTTTAACAACTTTAACAACTTTAACAACTTTAACAACTTTAACAACTTTAACAACTTTTTGTATTTTCCATCCGGCGAAAAAGAAAATTATGTAAGTTCAATCCATTCCCTTCCATCGCCGAAGAAGAATTCTGACATTCAATCTGATATAGGTGGCAAACACTTGTGGGTTTGACGCTATTTCTCATTTATTTTTCCGAGGTTCCTTTGTTCCGATGGGAACACGCGGAGGTCTTTTGTAACTCTTTATGCCTAATTATACTGACGTGTGCGATTTCAGCTTTTTTATTATATAATAATTTTTTGGGACTGTTGGACTTTCTGTTTTTGTATAGTTAACCAGCAGTTTTTTTTAGAAGTACCGATGATGGCATAATATGTGTGTAATCTATAATAAAGATAGGCAAAGACAAAATAGTTCAGTAGCATTTTCTCTTCTGTTTGTGAACCGACTATCGACATATGAAATTCATTGATCAGCAAAACATATGCACCCTTCAATTTCAAACCAACTACCATTTTATCTTATATTTTGTTTTTAAATTTTGTTTAGTAGCTATTGACGAGCT